AAATTTAATTTTTAAAAAAGATGGCTCCCGTGTTTATTCAGGGAGAATGAGCCAGGAGAGGAGAGGGGCAGGGTCTAAGGAGGCCCTTGTAGCCACTCACCATTTGCCTACTCAAGAACTAGGCATTCTTCCTGCTTGGACCCGTTTCCTTTCTCCTCATCTTCCCTCTGCTATGACCTTTGTGTTTACTCTGTGCTACTTACCCTGCCACTAAAATCTCTCTCCTCCTTTCCGCTCCAACAATCACACAGGGATTTTACAGGCTTTGAGGCACATTTGTTATTGGGTAGTTGAAGGAGATTGTAATGTTGTGATTCTTTTTATTCAATAAAATATATTTATACTGCTTATGTTATTTTAGGTCTTGACCAAAAAAATTATCAATAAAATGCATTTTTACCAATGAAATCATTATAATTTATGAATGTTGTTATAAGGAAGTTTCAGATTGACCAATTTTATTGGGTTTCTTTAACTTCTAGTAATCACAAAACAAAGTTGAACTAAGATCTAGATCATCTCAAAAGGGAGACTATACTTACTATACTATACTACACTATACTATACTATACATGAGAGAGAATATAAATGAGGACTTTTAAAAGTCAACATGAGCCCTAACTGGTTTGGCTCAGTGGATAAAACATCAGCCTGCGGACTGAAGGGTCCCAGGTTCGATTCCAGTCAAGGGCATGTACCTTGGTTGAGGGCACATCCCCAGTAGGGGGTGTGCAGGAGGCAGCTGATCGATGTTTCTCTCTCATCGATGTTTCTAACTCTCTATCCCTCTCCCTTCCTCTCTATAAAAAATCAATAAAAATATATTTTAAAAAAAATAAAAAGTCAACATGAATATAGAAGGATGGAGACCTGGATTAAAGTTTACATGAGGAAACCCGAGGGAGTTAGCTGGTGACTGCACCAGTATTCAACAATGCCACCTGCCTCCAAAGAAAGTCCACCTCAGCTCTGAACACACAAATATTACTCCAGGAGGCCTCCAGGTATCATCTGACGAAGGCCAGTGCTATCCAATCTCTAACTGGTGTCAATGCCTGGGGTATCAATAGGTTTCTGGAAGGAATTCGTACATCTGAATGGGTAATTGGACAAATAATACTCAAAGTTAACACCAATACCAAGTCTCCACAATTCTTCTTTGAGAGCTTTTCAAAGCCTAAGAAATGGCTTCTTGAGAACCACTTCTGAGCAATTTGGACTGAGAAGAAACTTTTTTTTCCTCTACATCCACTTGGTTGAAATGAGCTTTATAATTTTCTCTACGGAGTCCTGGCTTTAGGTTAAGAAACACTCTCCCAAGGAAAATATTTCTATCTCCATCCTTCCCATCATCTAAAAACTGACAAAATTAGATGCAGTACTTATTGCTGGGACCAGAGCAATCCCTCAGTTGGTTAAGTAGTAAGTATGGAGTACATGCAGCATCACAGGTCAGTGGATTCCTCTTCTTCAATGTTATTTTGTCACATGTAACTGCAATATTTACTCTGCAATGACTCACGGATTTACCCTTAAGAACACTCCCACGCATGCACACTTTGAAAAGAAAATCAAGTAACTTCCCATCAGAATCCACACCCACCCCATTCCGTCTGTATATTCTGCTTTGAAAAGCAATCCTGCAGCCGTAATACCCTTCTATACTTTGTCCTTTGAAGTACACACAAAAGATCATTAAGAAATCAACTAGGTATTTGCTTCTGGACAGGACACCAGGATGGATGGCCAGAAAAGAGCCAAGAATTCCCTCTCTGAGCCTTCCATTCCCTTATCTCAGTCCCCATCCTTCACTCCCTGAAGATACAGGATTCTTTGGCCCCCAGAGAATTCATCACTCTGAAGAAAACTCCAGCGGCAAACTAAAGTTTTAATTCTGACAATAAAAATCACCAAAACACCACCCATATATACAACTGTAGTATAAACACTACTTTTCAGTCTCATAAAATGTACCTTGTTCTTATCTCTCCAAGGAGTTGTAAAGTCACACTCAAAGTGTGAGGTCACAGTTTGTCCTCCTCTTAGCTAAGTAGCAAGAACATGTGCTTGAGCAAAGGGAGCAATTTTTTGTTTAAAATTAACTTTGTCCTTTGCTGCTCATTAATTTTAGGTGAGCCATTACTCAAAGTGATGGAGGTAAAAGTGCAAGTCAAAATCTTTAAGGAACAACTTTATTTCATTGAGGTGGAGACCAGCCATTGACCTACATCTGTCTTTAGTTCTCTACTTTCATACTTTAAAGCAAAATACAAAGAGTGATTATCTAAATCAATTTTAATTGGAGAAGATTAATAAAGCTATTTAAATCAATATTTAGAGCAGTGGTTCCCAAACTTATTTGGCCTACTGCCCCCTTTCCAGAAAAAATATTACTCAGCGCCCCCTGGAAATTAATTTTTTTTTAATTTTAATAGCAATTAAACAGAAAGATATATGTATTAATGTTTCTACCTTTTTCGTAAAATGTAGCAAAGAAAGGTGTAAATTAGAAACATTGAAGTTTGAAATTATGAAACTATTTATTGAACTCAGAATAGAAAGGTAATACAAAAAAAGTTAAAACAAATGCACCTGTGGCCATCACCGCCCCCCTGGATCGCTGCAGCGCCCACCAGGGGGCGGTAGCGCCCACTTTGGGAATCACTGATTTAGAGGAAAAGTAGCACCGTGATTAAGGGACAGTGGCATTAAGTACCTTCAGTTTATTTGTGTGTGTGTGTCTTTGTCAATCCTCACCTGAGGATGTGGGATCAAGCCTGCAACCCAGGTGCATGCCCTTGACCAGAATTGAACCCGGACCCTTCGGTGCAAGGGTCAATGCTCTATCCACTGAGCCAAACTGGCAAGGGCAGTACCTTTAGTTTTGAAACCAGCCTTGCTACTTGCCATTTCGGTGACCTGAGTAAGCTTGAGAATCACATTTGTAATAACCAATTTTACTATGTGTGGGTTCAAATTAAGAGAACAACTTATACTTGCAAAATCTTTCACAAGCACATGTTCCATAACTGGTGCTCATTTATGGTATAATTATCTGGTGATTATTTCCCTTAAAGGGACTCTGGAGTACTAGAGGTAATAGTAGAAATCTAAATATATAAAAGCCTAAGCCACTGTTACAATCGAACAACCGGTAGACCAGTCGCTATGACATGCACTGACCACCAGGGGGCAGACGCTCAACACAGGAGCTGCCCCCTGGTGGTCAGTGCACTCCCACAGCGGGAGCACCGCTCAGCCAGAAGCCAGGCTCAGGGCTGGTGAGTGCAGCTGTGGTGGCGGGTAGGATTTAAATAAATAAATAAAATAAAAAGTAATGATTAGGTTTTTAAAGGGTGTCTTTTATACTATCAAGTAAAGCCACCTTCATATGGCATTCATTTATTCAACAGCCATTTAAATCCACTCTGCTGCAGACACTAATTCATCCCATGGGTGGATCAGATGCTCAATAAGAGCTACATGGTTAGTGCTTCAAGAGATCATGGAAGAAGAGCAGACCACAAAAAGTGCACAAGAGCCCCTAACCCGTTTGGCTCAGTGGATAGAGCATCAGCCTGTGGACTGAAAGGTCCCAGGTTCGATTCCGGTCAAGGGCATGTACCTTGGTTGCGGGCACATCCCCAGTGGAAGGTGTGCAGGAGGCAGCTGATAGATGTTTCTCTCCCATCGATGTTTCTAACTCTCTATCCCTCTCCCTTCCTCTCTGTAAAAAATCAATAAAATATATTTTTAAAAGTGCACAAGAGAGCAATATAATTTCTTTCTTTAAAATATGTTTTTATTGATGTTTTTTTAGAAAGAGAGAAAAGGAGGGAGGGAATGAAGGAGGGAGGGAGAGAAGGGAGGAGGGAGGGAGGAAGAGAGAGAGAGAGAGAGAAAGAAATATTGATGTGAGAGAGAAACATTGACTGGTTGCCTCTGGCACACACCCAACTGGGGACTGAACCCAAAACCTGGGCATGTGTCCTGACCAGGATTTGAACTGGCAACCTTTTGGTGCACTGACAACACTCAATCAACTAAACCACACAGACTAGGGCACAATACAATTTCTTGTTCCCACAATTGAAATTTTTATGTAAAGATTTTTTTTCAGAGAATCTGGACATCCAAAGTGGCAGAGAACGTGTTATGTTGAGGGACATAAAAGTAAATTATAATTAAGTATCAAGATAATGACTGGAAAGGAATGCCATGGTATAAGAGGGGGGGAAATGAAGTATAGTAGTGATGATAATTATCAGAATAAATTTAGTAAAAGAGAAAAATAGTCAAGGGATGACTATATAAAATCTATTTAGATACTTATTAAATATAATTCAATTTAGTAATAATTTTAAACTAGGGATATGCACAATGTAAGAATGATGACTGAACCTTATCTGGAGTACAAAACTTTGGGTTTTTCAATATATGCCCCAATTACGCTCATACCATATACAGTTCTTAAGTCATTCACCCAACAGTGAGACTAAAGCATGAAACTTCAAAGTCTAATTTGGACTCTGTTAACAAGAAGCAACCAATGAACACATAAATAAGTGGAACAACAAATTGATGTTTCTTTGTCTCTTTCTCTCTCAAATCCATAAAATAAGAAAAAGGTGATTCCCAATGATTCTCAGAGAAGGGACTCAGCAAGGGCAGGGGTCAGTAAACTTCTGCACAGGGTCACATGATACATCTCTTAGGCTGCGTGGGCCACACATCCTGTCACAACTACTCAATTCAGCCGCTGCTGCATGAAAGCAGCCACTGGCAATGCATGAATGAACGGTGATACTTTGAACCCAATCTGTCCCACTCCCCGACCCACTGTTCAATTTATTTAGGACTCACGTGAGAAAAAGAGGTCGTACTGGAATAGAAACATTCATAATAACTTCTTTCAGGTATAAAGATAAGGAAAATCAGCTAAAAGTATATGATTTTTCCTTTCCCTAAAAAATGCCATAAAGTTGAAAGCAAGCACTCACCTGAACATATAGTTCCCTCAGTTCATACTGAAATTTCTTGGGATCTGTGGTAACTGTCACTGGGCCAATTTCTGTGAAGATAAAAATGACATAGGTAAATAAATCGCAATTAACAGCATAAAAGACTTTAATGCATTTGTGTTTGCAAATGTCTTTTCACTGTGCAGTACATTATTTATTACTACAAAATAATGTGCAAAATTACACCTACTTCTTAATTTATAGCTACCAATGAATAGCTTATAGTTTGCATTAAATTATGCATACCTAAAAGAGGGGGTTTTTAGCCTTGCAAAAGGCAAATGAGCAATTAAAAACGTCTCAAGACAAAGAGTCAGGAGACCTCAGTTCCAGTCCCTTTTTACTCTCACAGGTCAGTAAATATTTACTGAACACCTATGTTGTTGTTGGATTTTAAGTGAATCACTATTTATCCTATGATTCTGTTTCCTTAACTATATATTGTAAATGTGTTTGCAGCTTTTCAGGAAGTCCAAACTCATTTCAAATAAAAAGTGGAACACTAAACAACAACAACAAAATAAGAACAAATAACCTTCAATATCTATTCCACAGGGTTTTTAAGAACTTGCAGAAGCAAAGATATGAGGACATTAAAAGTTCAGGAAATTGTCCCTATCACTTTCTTCCTCATGGCTGGGGTTCATGTCCGTCATTACCACCATTCTCCTGAGCTGGCTGTGACCACCATGACTCCCTCTGGGGTTGCTGCCACTCTCCTAACTGCCCCGATGTATTGCAAACATCACTGCTTCCAATAGGAACAGGTGGCGGCCACGGCATTTGCTGGAAAACCAGGACCGAAGTTCGATGAAGAGAAGGAGCCCAGGTACCAGTGTGGCTTGAGTTAGCAATACTATTTTAGGATATACCATGTCTATACTAACATTTTAATCTCTTTTTAAGATAAAAATCAATGTTTAAAATAGGCAAGTCGAAAGCGGCCCTTACAGGTATTAAAGATTTTTCCCCCAGGAAATACCCATATATTTAAACAATTCATCTGAGTATCATATGCAGAGACATACCAGCTTAAATTCCCAGAGTAGATTTTTTAGTATCATATGCAGAGACATACCAGCTTAAATTCCCAGGGTAGATTAAAAAAAATTCTATTACATCTAATGAATATATTACAAAACTGTAATATGTAACTACAGTACAAAATTATAAAAACACTTAACATTTAGTTTTCACATTTTCTAGCTTCCAAGGGACACTGTTAGAAAAGGATTTTGTGACTTCAAAGGATAACAATTAATTAGCCAGGCTTTCTATAGTGAGCTCAATGTGATACAAAAAACAGGCTGTAGGATTGTAGAAACAAAAGAAGTGAATTGGAAAAGAAGCACAATATGTCCACCATAACCTATGTAATTTTTTTTTTAGAAATTACACACAAAAATATGGCTCCATCCTTCACCACACATGAGACACCTTGCAGTATGCAAAAGGAATGGAGGGGAGATTGGAGGAACGGTGAAAATGCAAACATCTACATTCCATGCAGGCGGAGCAGTCGCTAGCTGTGCAAAAGTCATGTCTTGAGTATACGGAAAATCGGCAAAGCCTACTCCCTCAAGACTAAACAAAGGCATACTTTGCAAAGGAATGCCAAACAGTGGAGAACATGCCAGGCAGTTACGCTGACATGTAAATTGTCAGCAGCAGTGTTAAGCCAAGCTTCCATATTCCTACATGGCATAATACTGAAATAATTCTGGAGTTCAAAACTCAAGCAGTGGAAAGGAATACAAAATATGCTAGAAAAAAAAAACAATTACAGAACAATGAAAAGTGCATACATGCAAGAACATTCCCTTTAATAACAATTTTTAAAAATAGCCCTGGATGTATGCCTGGTTCTTCAAGAATGGAAACCAAGAAATGCTATCAAAATAAGAGGACCGATTAGCCTTCATTTAGCTTTCCAGAGACTCCAATATCCACCTGTGTTCAACAAAGATAGGAACTCTCTCCTGCAGCTCATTAATAAACATTTTTTTGCAAACCACATGGACAGCTGAGATAAATCTTTTATCAGTTATGAGAAATACTCAGGAGAGGTAAAGAGTTGTGGAGCTGCCATATCCTTCCAGCTGTAAGTGTCCTTTCCAACTCTTCTGAATTGAATGATATGACTACTTGGCAGAATCGGCCCTCCTCCCTTCAGGACTTGCTTCCATCCCAGTCTTTGTCTTCTCTTAGTAGAGCCCTGTGCCAGTCCTGTCATGAGCAACTTCCCCTTCTCTTCCTTTTTGCTCATGTTGGTTTCATCCCCTGCCAAGCCTTTGATGACATTCAGCAGGTACAACTTTGTCCTCCCTTCCTGCCTGAACATGGTCCTCCGTTGCTTACAGAATTAAAGGAGAACTCTCCAACGCATTCCAGGCCCTCTCTTCTACTAATCCAATCTTCCAAATTCGTCAACACCCTTGACTTAGCATGAAGCTACTGTGCTTCCTCACCACCCCCGTCACCATCCCCACTGTCTTTCATCTGCCCATACACCTCTCATTCTATAAAGCCTGATTTAAGTCCTATCCCTTGACTGCGTTGCCTTTTCTCCAATTTGCTTTAATGTTGTCTTGATAATATTTGTATAATAAATATAAGGGAAGAATGAAGGTGTGTAACAAACAACTTTGTCCTCCCTTCCTGCCTGAACATGGTCCTCTGTTGCTTACAGAATTAAAGGAGAAGTCTCCAACGCATTCCAGGCCCTCTCTTCTATTAATCCAATCTTCCAAATTCGTCAACACCCTTGACTGAGCATGAAGCTACTGTGCTTCCTCACCACCCCCGTGACCATCCCCACTGTCTTTCATCTGCCCATACACCTCTCATTCTATAAAGCCTGATTTAAGTCCTATCCCTTGACTGCGTTGCTTTGATAATATTTGCATAATATATATAAGGGAAGAATGAAGGTGTGTAACACTTAGCAGAATGTAGAGATCATTTCCTCTTCATTGAATTAATTTTACCTCGTTGTTTATAAAGAAAACACACCAAAAAATAATAAAACACCTATCCATCTCCAAATAGAATCATCGAAATAGAAGAGGCATTAAAGATCATCTGGTTCAATTCTCTTTTCTACAGACAAGAAAACATGAGGTCCAGAGAAGAGGAAATAGAAAATTGATGGCGGTGAAGAAAGAGGTTAAGATATCTGAACACATTTCTACACTGAGTAACCTGCACAGCTGACTAACATTTCCTGTTTCGCAAGATCTCCATTCTGTCCATGACCATATCACCACTAACTTTCTCCTCCTTTCCTCTGGACCACGGGCAGGACAGGCCATGGTCCAGATGCCTAATATGATGCACACAACATCCAGAATTCTTTATTGTCACATGTCTGGACATTATCTTTAAGAGACAAAAAATATCCCTCTTGCCTAGTAGATACTATAATTAAACACACAAACAAACCTCACTGGAAAATTCCTTCTACAATCTATTTAGCAAACATATATTGAGCATCTAGTATATGTGGTTGCCACTGGTAACAAGGATGAACAAACACGAACCCTGCCCTCAAGTCCTGATGGTCTAGTGCAGAAGATAAAACTGTAAACATGTAATCACAGTACAATGCAGCAAGTGCAGAAACAGAAGTACGGATAAGGTAGTATAGGAGCACTAATTCCTATAAAGAATGTTTTTGGGGTGTGTTTTTTTTTTTTGGCTGTTTTGTTTTAGAAAGAAACAAGGGAGAGCTCAAAGAGGAGATGAAAATTCAGGATTTCAAATGGAAGAAAACAAGTAGTTCTTTATAATGCTAATTTCTTTTTAAATTCTATATACCAAGTTTACAAGGCAATCCTATATCCTATCAAATTATTGTTATTACCTAAAACTATATTTGCAAGTATTTTTTACAATTCACAATACTTGGTAACATAGAGGGACTCCCTTAAGCCTCACAACAACCTCATGAAAAGGGCAGGACAGATAAAATTCATAAACAATTGAAGGTTAGGTGATAAACTAAAGCCACCCAGTCCCTTTGAGGGCTAGCACAGTAAGTACCCTGTGTCTGTGGCGTGGGGGCATCTCCCACATGAGACTAGGTGATACTGCAACTGCCGATGCTTTTGTGTCTCCCTCACTTGACTGTCACCAGAAGATGAATGGTCTCAATGTACCTATAGTAGATTCCTTATCAATAAATGTATAAAGATGGAAAGCAGGGAGACAAGGAAAAAAAAACAATGAAGGTTAAACCAGATCCTTTTTTTCATTACACCATGGAGCCTCCATGCTACTACTAAAGACCATGTTACGTGATCACCGAGTAGCCAACCAACACTTTTCCATTTCCTCTGTTAACCAAAGTGTTTTGTTCTTTACTTTAATCAGGTTATTGATGTAGCTCATCAACAGACAATTTCCCACATATAGCAAATTTTTAAAACCAAAGGAAACATTAAGGTAACATGTATTATTACAAATATGAGAAATGCCTTGCTCTTCAGAAGACCACTTTTTTTTTAAGAAATATATTTTTATTGATTTCAGAGAGGGAGAGAGAGATGGAAACACCAATGATGAGAGAGAATCATCAACTGGCTGCCTTCTGCAGACTCCCACTGGGGATCGAGCCCACAACCTGGGCATGTACCCTGACCAGGAATGGAACCGTCACCTCCTGGTTCATAGGTCAATGCTCAACCACTGAGCCACACTAGCCGGGCCAGAAAACCACTTTCGATTAAAAACAATAACTGAAACTCTAAGGAAGTCTTTCCTCTTTTCATTAATTTGTTATTAATGAAACTAAGGAAGCCTTTCCTTTTTACATTAATTTTGTTATTGCCCATTTCCTAGCGATTTATCAGATGCTTGAATTTTTTTCCAGCATCTCAGCCATTGTTCTCTTAATCTGAGCTGCTGGATTGTATTTGAGAAAATAATGGAAAGAAATTCACAAGGTCATACAGTATTTTCTTTCACTGCTTCACTTGGCAAGATCGATATCCACTTGCTCATTTCCTTTTTCCTTTCCATGAACAGACTTCTGCTCCTTATGGTTTTTCTT